GGACACACTGACAAAGGAGATTAATCAGAACTGGCTTTGACAAGCACTGTGGCAATTGGACAATTAAAACGGACATGGGGGGGAAGAAGAACGAACTGGGGATGAGGGTGGAGAAAACAGTGCAACAATGAATGAATGAAAACCCATAATATCTGTAAATGTTCATCAAAACTAATAAAATTTAATAAAAAAAATTTAATCTGAAGAGGAAAATGTGAAAAAAATCCTAAAATATTAAGAACTTAGAAGATACAGAATAAAGGAGACTGTTGAAATAGTTTTAGTATTTACATCTTTAATATCCATTTTTGTAGGATTTTTTAAAATAGGAATACGAGGAACAACTTTATAGTAATAATAAAACAGACTAAACTGAAACATTCCCAACAAAAGAATTTTTTTCAAATGCACTTAAAGATAAGCCTCAATAATTGTCCTATTATCATTAAGTACATTGGATCAGGAACTTAAAATCTTCCTATAAGAAAAAACTAAGCACAGACTCACATATGTCTACAGGCAAGTTATACTGAACTTCTGGGGCATAGTTCTTCCAGTCTTAGACAAGACCTGCCACAGAGTAGAAAAAGCTGGCACATACTCTAATTAATTGCTAAGAGGCTAGAATAAATCTGATACCAACCAAATTAAGCCAAGGGTAAGAGAGGATAATTACTACCCAATCCCACTTATGAACAGACTGCAAAAAATCCTAACAAAATAATAGCAAAGTGAACCCAACAAAACATTAAATATGTTATAAACTCCAAAATGCAATCTTTTCTTTAATTTTGAAAAGTTACTGATTAAGTGGCCATAGTAACAGACTAAAGAATATAAAATAATGTAAACAGGTGCAAAAAAGCATTTGATGAAACTTAGCACTTATTATTTTCTTTTTAAAAGTGCTCAAAGCATGATGAGAACATGTGAAAAGGACGCAGAAGTAAACTGGAAGTGGCTGCTCTGATCCGGAATAATTCATGCATCCAAGTTAATGAATAAGAGAAAAACCATGAGTCTGGATGGTGACAGTCTACATACAGACAATAAAATGAGGAATAGCATACATACATTCTCAAAGAATCTCCCTACAGAATATTTACTAATAAAACAAAAAACAAGGAGTAATTTTAGATAAATGGTAAGAGTACGTTTAGTAAAACTGCTGGACACTAGACCTAACCCAAAATGCACTGTCACTGACTGGAATCTCTTCACAGATCAGGCTCCACAGGTCTCTGGAGGCTGTGAATCACACACACAGGATGAAGCTGTGCATGTTTCTCCCACAGGTTAGAACCGGCAGAGAGGTGCCAACAACGCTGGGTGAGCACTGCAACTCCCTATGGACTAGGCAAAATCAAATGTATCTTTATAAACTAAAAACAACAGAACACAGAAATTCACCAAACAAACAGAAAAAGCAAACCCATGCCACTGAGCTGGTTCTGACCAGTGGCGACACTCTAGTTAAGTTTTTGAGGGCTGGACCTCTTCATGCAAGAAGATCAGCACTGGAGTAACAGGTGGATTTGAACCTCTGACCTTTTGGTTAGCAATGTAATACATAATATGATAACAGACCTCCTAATTTACAAAGCATAGTAATTATACAAGCAAAATAATCCTTAGAAATTTAGCTATTGATTCTAAAACTCCCTTGTAAAAAAATACAAGATGTTATTAAAAACAGTATCTTTTAAATTTTAGAAGAAAATCATGAAGTATATTATTATAGCATCAGTTCAAATCCAATGAAACATGGGCAATCTATCCCATGCAATTTTCAGCCTCTGAAAGCCTCCTGGGCAATGAGTCAGCTCTGACTTGACAGCAATGAACAACAATAATATATTGATTGATATTAATGTATTTTCATTCAAAAGTATTGTTGCTGTTGCCATGGTAGCTGTTCAGTGGGTTTTCACTGTAGCAGTAAACAACATGGGAGGAGACTGCTAGACCTTCTCCTGCAGAGCAACTGGTAGATTCAAACGGCATGCCTTTGGGATTGCAGTGCAATTTCTCACCACTAGGCCTCAAGGAAGTATAAAAAGTAAATTATAAACTAAGATATTTACAGTACATAACTGACATAGCCAAGTCTGAAACACAGTCACATATGAAGCAGTATAACTCAATTTCATAAAAATAAATAATACTAGGAAAAATTATGTAAAATCTATGAACATGCAAGCCACAAAATGGAAACAGAAAAGTGTCCATAGGCATATGAAAATATACTCAGATTTATTGAGAACAGGAGTTATGCATATTAAAATCACAAGCTACCATATCAAACTCATAAGACTAACAAAATGAAACAGAATGCAGAATAACACAAACTATTCTACACTGCTGTCTGAAGTGGACCAATCAAGCACACCAATCACTTCAGAAAAACAATTTGGTACTAAATTATGAAGGTGAACATGTACATAATTTTTCATCCCGAAATTCTACTAGATAAATACCCACAAGAAGCCTTATATGTGCCTCAGTAAATAAGTGTAAGAATGTGAAGCATTACTCATAAAAGATAAAAACAAGAGGAAATAACCTAAATGTCCTTCAGTTAGAAATGCAAAAACCGTGTTTTATTTCCACAATGGAGATATACAGCAGGGGAAACGCCTGGACCCCATCAATATACAAATCCCAAAACCTGAGTGAAAAGAAGACACATACTGTTTCTGTAAAGCATGAAAACAATGGCAATACTTACTTAAGAATGCAGAGGTAGAAAAGTGAGTGAATTATGATAAGAACCAGGATGACAGTGCTATTTCCTGGAGATGTGAGGGGGGATGTGACGGGAGCTCAGAGGATCTAAAGGAAAAGGTTCTCTCTTCCTTCACAATGGAGACTGGGTCTATGAATGTGCTTTTTTTTTTTAATATCAATGTGCTTTTAAAAATCTGCTTGTAATTTCCCCGTATATTATAAATGTCCTTTGATATGCAAAAATTATTACAGAATACAACAGCAAGTAAATGGAAACAGCCCGAATGTCCATCAACAAATGAATGGATTGAGAAAGTGTGGTATATTCACATGAGAATACTACTGAGCACTCAGGGGCAATAATTTTGTAATATCCTAACATGGGAGAGGCTAGAGAGCATTATTCTGAATGAACTAATTCAGTCTCATAAGGACAAATACTGCCTAAGACCATTATTACAAAAAGAGCAGGCTAACTAGTAAGATATGTACAAAAGTCCAAAGGAGCAAGAGGGGAGGAAGAAGGGAATGGAGGGAGGGAAGGATGGGGAGAAAATTACAAGGTTGCAGAGTCTGGTGGGCAAGAGAGGGGGTAAAGGAATTAGAAAAGATCCACTGGGGACCTGAAAAGACAAAGTCATAGTGGGCCTGTCAAAAAAACAAACAAAACAACAAAAAAACCCCATGCTAATTAATCTTATAAAACATATGCATGGTAATGATTGTATGAAATACAATGTGAATAAAGGAAGGTGTGAAACACAATGTATAAAAATTAACCACAATATACAAATTTTGTATGCAAACTAATATAAAAGAATTTTTTTAATTGTTTTTAATTATTATTATTTTGTGTGTATGTACTGTCAAATCAGATCTGACTGGTACAGGAGGAGACTGTCTCTCCAGCGGAGCATCTGGTGGATTTGTACTGTGCACCTCTGGGTTTGCAGAGCAGCTTCTTGCTATTAGACCACCAGAGCTCCAATAAAATAAATTTTTAAAAAATTATTACAGAATAATAGTAATAATGCATTTAAAAGAAAAAAGTACAGAAAATACAGAAATTATAAAAGAATCAATGACAAGGAGAAGGCAACTGTTTTAAAGGATAAAGATTCATTAACACATATCAAAAAACCTTAGAGCCAATCAATATAAGGCAATCTCTTCCAACACAGCTATTTGGCCAACTTCTTAGTCTCCTTGAATCTTTGCTTCAATGTCCCCACCCCAACCCCCATCTCCATCCCATGCACTTCTGGGTAAGACTTGCATTTGACACTTGAATATCTCAACTCCTGAAGCCGCTTCTTCCTCTCAGATGCCTCTGGATTCCCTGATCTCTTATCCTGAATTTTTTTCCTACCCCCCATTGCTCTTCTCATTATCTAACATATCCTATCATCTATTCACCTTCCATGTTTATTATTATTTAATATCATTTTCCCTTTGCCACTCCCAGGAAGATAACTCTATGAGTCCCTAGATCGGTATAGGTCTACTTATGGATGTACCCCAGTTTGCCATAGCATTCTACTTTATCAGAGCAATATTGGACACTAAGCCATTCTGCTTTTCTCTCTCATCAATTATCTTTTAGTGATAATATGTTTTCAACTCACAATAATAAATCAGATAATACGACAAGGTTACAATTTTCTGAAAAGCCTATTTAAAACAGTATTCTATGTTGATGATATATTTTAATGATGTTTGTTTTAATCACAGAATCATGTAGTTTCAACAAAATATTAATTTTAAGTTTATTTTATCATAAAGACAGTCAAGAAAGCAGCCCATATTATTGACATCTTGCTAAGTACTAGGTGCTATGAGTCTTACTTACATAATCAAATGTAAAACAAGAGAAAAAAATTACCATGTGTATATAAATGATCTTCCGTAATTTGCATATATCAATGTACCCCACAACATATACCGCAAACAATGATGCAATCTGTGATTTAAAAAGAAATTAAGTTAAAAACTACACATAAATACAAATACCTCTAACAATTAAGAACATTATTTTCATTGTTTCAAATTGATTTATTTATATAGAAAACAAAGTTTTCGTTTTATATATCAATTTATTTTTACATACAATAAACATTAAATATAAAAAATTGTTGCTGTTGTTGTTATGTGCCGTCGAATTGTATGCAACTCATAGCAACCCTATGTACAACACAGCCCTAAAACTTGCTCTATCCTGTGCCAATCTTACCGTCTCTGACACACCGACCCACGTTATTCTAGTTCACTGAATCAATCCACCTCATCAAGGGTCTTCCACTCTTATGCTGTCCCTCCACCCTTCCAAACATGATGTCTCTCTCCAAGGACTGGTCCCACCTTGCAACATGGCCAAAGTATGTCAGACAAAGCTTCAGAATCTTTGCCTCCAAGCAGCAGCATGGTCTCACCCTTTCTAATATGTACTTGTTTATTCTCCTACTAGTCCATTATACATTCAATACTCTTCTCCAACACCACATCTCAAAGGCATCAATTCTCCTTCTATCATTCTTAGTCATTTTCCAGATCTCTGATGCATAGCAAGTGACCGCAAAGACCATGACCTATATCAGGAGTATGTTAGTCTCTAAACTGACATCATTACTCTTCAGTACTTTTGGGGAGGTCTCTGACAGCAGACATTCCCAACACAATAAATTTTTTAATTTCCTGGCTGCTGGTACCAAGAGTGTTGACTGTGGAGCCAAGCAAACTAAAGCTGTTAACAATCTCAATCTCTTCATGATGCTGCCAACTGGCCTAGTGCTGAGAATCTTAGTTTTCTTGATGTTGAGCTTCAATCCATATTGAAGTCCTTGACCTTCTGGAGCAAGCGCTTCAGGTTCTCCTCTGTTTCAGCAAGCAAGGTTGTGTCATCTGCGTAACGCAGATTGTTGATGAGTCTACCCCCAATCCTGATGCCACATTTCTCCTCACAGAGCCCAGCCTCCTAGATAATCTGTTCCACATACAGATTTAAAAGGTATGGAGATAGCACACATCCCTGGCATGCACACTTCCCAATTTTGAACCATACAGTGTCTCCTTGCTCTGTTCTGATGACTGCTTCCTTGTCCAAGTATTTGTTTTGCATAAGCAAAATCAAGTGTTCTGGGAGTCCCATTCTTCTCAGACTCAGCCAGAGTTGGGTTTGATTCACACAATCAAATGCCTTTGCATAGTCAATGAAACACAGACATTCCATTGATACTCTGCTTTCAGCCAAGATCCATCTGACCTTAGCTATAATATCCCTAGAACCACGGCCTCTTCTAAACCCAGCCTGCACTTCAGACAGTTCTCTGTTGATATGCTACTTGATTTTTCTTTTCTATACATCCTTCTCTAAATTAACTGTGTGAACTATCTATTTTTGTGAATTACACAAAACACTAGTCACTTTAATTTCAGGTTCACTGTCAATAATAAAGTGCTACACTACATAAAAAAATTAAAAACTTAATCACAACAGATAACAATTAAAATAGTACATTCACTCAGAAACAATTCCGTAATGCTTGTGTGAATGAAAATATATTCATTTCTGCTTGTTAGTCATTCTTCATGAGCACATTCTATTATTTATTAATCATCATGTGTTTATTATAATCAAACTTAATATGAGAAGCACTTTCACTACAATGGTATTTTTAAATCTGCTTTGAAGAGAACTGTATATGCACGTAGCAAGAATTCTAATAGTAGTATAATTACACAAATTAATTGATGAAATCCTAGAAATGGCTCTCAGTAAAGTATACAGGGATTATGCCAAACATTGCTTTTCTATTCTTCTCAGGGACAAAGCAGTTAAATTTCATGTCTCTCACACAACATCATATAATAAACTACAAAAACACTAAATACTTAAATATACAACCTAAGTGCCATTAATCAAGCTTTGCCTCTAATTAATCTATAACAAATTTTCCCATTACTAAGAAAAAAGAAAGAACAAGATTTTCTTTGATCCAGGTTAACCATATGAAATAACAATGCAATGCATAAAGCAATGGAAATAAAGGAGTAATTTTAGAGATATGTTCTTATGTTATCATTCAATGTAAGAACAACAAAGATGCATAACACCTCCTCTCTCTAACGCCACAAAACTAAACAAAAAATGCACTGCCTTCTAAATCATGACAATCTCACATCCATCCTCCTCCTAAATTAGCCATCCTCACTGTATGGAACAAGAGGAGCTCTTCCTTTGCACTCAAAGGGCTAAGTAGTGTACAACAAACCAAGCGGGAAGAATGTTCATAATCTTAAGACATGTTTTAAACTAGAAACTATAAAATATCATTAAATGAGAACAACAAATGGAGTCTCTATTATTTTTATGTTATTCTTGTGTGCTGCCCTGTCAGAACCAAAGCATAGCTAATCCTCCAATGGATTTTCAGAGGCAGTTTATCTCCCAGAAGGAGACTAACCATCCTTCTCCTAAAGAGCAGCTGGTGGATTAGAAATATGTGCCTTAGGGATTGCAGGCACAGTTTCTCACCACTAGACCACCAGTTGTTGTTAAGTGCTGTTGAGTTGTAGACGACTCATAGCGACCCTATGAACCAAAGACCTGCACACTTGTATAACTTTCATCCTTTCTCCAGGTTCATAGAGTTTCTGGAAGCAAGCTATTTCGGAAATTGATCCACTCCTGCTTCCAAGCTTGTTTTAATTGGGGAGCTCCACCAAACACTGTCCACCACGGGTAACCATTAACACATATGACACATCAGTGTCACAGTGTTCAGCATTACAGCAACCACGAGTTACCTGCAAGCGGACAGGCCAGGGCTATACAACCTAGAAAATGCTTGACCAAAACAATTATAAACAGGCCAGAGGGCCGCAGGTCCGAGGGCCCTATCGAATTTAAGAACCAGAGCATGAGCTCCTTCATTCCAAATTCCTCCATAAGCATGCATTTTCATTGGCTCTCACACCCAAAAGTACCCATCTTGGAACATTCTGCTGCTTCTTCAATCTCCTCCTATTCTGATGCCACATGTTTCTTCACAGTCTTACTTCTTTAATAATTTGTCCATCACATAGACTGAGTACAAATGAGAGATGGATACAGATATAAACAGAAAATGAACAAAGGCCTGAAGCCTTTCTATAACTATCATCATTTTTCCATTTTTTTCAGACTTTCTTTAGGCATGTAGTTTAGGAAGTGAATGGCAGTCCTGCTTCCAAACCAGAATCAATCTGGGAGCTCCAACAAAAACTGCCAATGATGGGTAGCCAATTATGGTGTGTGACAAACTAGGTCACCAGAGCTCCCCTTATATTACTTTAGAAACAGTAACAAAAGGAGTCAATTACAAAACAACAAAACAACAAATTACAAAACAACAAAAGAAGACACTTAAACTGATAACTGGTACTTGGTAATCTCAAGGTAACAACTAAGGTAATTGACTTCTTTTGTTACTATTTCTAAAGTAATATAAGGGGAGCTCTGGTGACCTAGTTTGTCACACACCATAATTGGCTACCCATCATGGGCCTCTCCCAAGTGTTGAACAGCAATGGTGTCTCTTTGGAGACTAAGGTGCGTCTAATACAGGCCATGGTCTTCGCAATCACCTGTTATGCATCAGAGAGTTGGACAATGACCAAGGAGGATAGAAGGAGAATTGATGCCTTTGAGCTGTGGTGCTGGAGAAGAGTATTGAGAATACCATGGACTGCTAGGAAAACAGATTTGTCCTGGAAAGGGTTAAACCGGGTGGCTCCTTGGAGGCAAGGATTCTGAGGCTCCATCTAAGATACTTTGGACATGTTGTGAGGAGAGACCGGGTTCTTGGAGAGGGACATCATGCTTGGGAGGGTGGAGGGGCAGCGCAGGTGAGGAAGGCCCTCTATGAGGTGGATTGATTCAGTGATTGGGATAATTGGGATGGGAGCGTTGGAGACAGTGAGATTGGCACAGGACAGAGCGGAGTTTAGGGCTGTTGTACATAGGGTCGTTATGAGTCGCAGGCGACTCAACGGCACATATCAACAACAACAGGCATTTCTACACCTATTCCTAACTGTATATTCCTTACCAATAAAGTCAGTTCTTTCAATGTCTCTATTTCAAAAGTAAGAAAACTGAAGCTATGAAAAATTCAGTACTTCATACAAGTCACAAAGCAGTGAGGAAAGATGGGACCCAAATCCAGCTCTGACTCCACTTCCCAAACAAGACATTTCAGAGAACACTAAAAAGCAATTTTAACTGTGTCATATGAAGACAGCCAGCACAATAGAAAAGCAGTAAAATGGGGGGAAAATGAATTTCAATTTCTCTCTCTCTCTGTAAGCTATCTGCCTTACTTGAAAAGAGGCAAGAGAATATGAAGAAACGTAAGAAAAATTGCAAATTGGCAGGGAGGTTACATAACACATGAGTCAGCCAACTTTTTATCATGTTATCTAGAGTTTACTTAAGAGAAACACTTAACAGGATAGTCCTAATCTTCTTGTAGGTACATCAGGATAGTCCTAATCTTCTGGTAAGTACATTAACAATTTCTTAATTAACAGAAGCATTCTTACAAAATTGAATTTAACAAATGTGTTCTACTAGTAAGTAATTCAGCTTGAACTTCTGGCCGTTTTCTGTTGATGATATACTGTTCAAGTCATTTTTGGAAAAGCTTCAGAGAAATGATACTTGCATAGTATATTAATTATGTTGTTTGTTAACTTCCACATTCTGTTGGATCACCTATTTTGGGATCTATTCCAGTCTGCTAGTCTGGTAGTTGTCCTCTATATCTCTTGGCACAACCTGGCAAGTGAGGGCTGCATCTGTTTGTTAAAACATGTCAGTTCATTTTCCCTCCATTCCTGAGGCCTTAATTTTTGCCACTAACTTCAAGGAAACTTGAAGTCCTTCCCTCATTGCAACTAGTTCTTGATCATATGCTATTTCATCACTCATTCCTGGGACCTTATTTTTTTTGCCAATGTCTTCAATGAAACTTGAACTTTCTTCCTTTATTACCATTAGTTTATGACCTTAATGCTACTTCCTGAAATGTTTTCATGCCAGCCAATTCTTTTTTGGTACAGTGACTCTGTGTATTCGTTCCTTTATTTAAAAAAAAAATATATAAACTTTTTATTTTAAAGTAGTTTACCACAAAGTTCACATACATTGTTATTCACAGCAGATCTTTCCCATTTCCTTAACCAACCCTATCCTCATGCCTTTTCTTTTGATGCTTCCTGGTTCATTCATGACTTTGGCCACAGCATCCTTTGTTGCTGCAACTCAAGGTTTGAGTTTGTTCTTCAGTTCCCTCAGCTTGAGAAAGGCAGCAGGAGTTCTTCCCATTTTGTTTTCTAATTCCAGCTCGTTGCATATTTCATTGTAATATTTTGTTTTGTCTTCTCAAGCTGCCCTTGAAAGCATCTGTTCATTTCTTTTACTTCAGCATTTCACCCCTTTGTATTGGCCTATCCATGTTCATGTGAAATTTTCAGAGTCTCTTCTGACATGTCTTTTGGTCTTTTCTTTCTCCCCTTTTACTTTCTTCATGGATGATACCCTGATATCATCCCACAACTCATTTGGTCTTCAATCATTAGTGTTCAACATCTCAAAGTTATTCTGAAGATGGCTTTTAAATTCAATTAGTCTAGACTCAATGTTGTATTTTGGTTCCTGTGGCCTTGTTTTAATTTTCTTCAGCTTCAACTTGAATTTGCACATGAGAAAGTGATGATCTATTCTACAGTCATCCCCTGACTTGGTAAGTTTTCACTGTTCTCTTGGGCTACTAAGTAGAAACACAATAGCAGCTGACCTGCTAGTGAAGTAAGTGGTGGTCAATTACACAGGAGGAAACTGCCCCCATTTTTGTCCTGTATAAAACCTAGCAGATTGGAATAATGTACATGTGTGCTAGCACTGCAACTTCTTACCCCCAGACCACTAAGTATACAGACTGTTAAAGAAAGATATATATTCACCTACTCTTAACTTTCTTTAAAAGTATTAACTAAAAATATTTAGAACTTAGAACTATATAACCTCTACTTTTAATAATATTATACAATACAAATGTGTTTGCATAATCAAACACATGAAGCTTAAATTCATATTAAAAATAAAATCAAATTACCTGAGTAAGAAGTACAAATTGTGCAAACTGCCAAGGAAGTATGAAAAATATATTGGAAATGCACAGTGCAATCAAGCTTCCTCTATAAAGTTTTGTAGTCCTTGAATAGACAAAATAAATATTAGTAAGTTTAACTGCAGGGCTTAAAATTACTGCAAATTAGAATCTCTAAACGTTATTTGGTTAAAGCATAATAAACGAGACATAAAATGAACCAATGAGATAGAAAGTATACTTCCTGATATTCGATTACAACCATCCTCTATGAAAATTGTTGCTGTATCATCCAGTCAAAACCGACTCATAGCTGACCCTTCAGTGGGTTTTGAGAGGGTGTGAATTGCTTGATGGGATACAGCCCATCCTTCTCTCAAGGAGGAGCTGGTGGACTGGAACTCCCTGTCTTTTGGTTAGCAGCACAATTCCTTGCACACTAGGCCACCAGAGCTCCTTTCTATGAAAACTACTCATTTCAACTAGACAAACACAAAGTCTGCAAGAGGAGGATAAACTCTGAATTTTTTCAAACTATATTTTGGTAAATTCATTATTGAATACTTCTGACTGTTACAGTCAATGGAATTATCAGCTGAGACAAAGTATTTCTATGAGAAAATAATACAAAATGGCATACCGTAAGTACTCAATATTACATAGACAAAAAATTCAAGAACTCAGAATAAGGGCTGAGTAATGAGGAACATTCTACAGAGGGGTTTGATAAAAGTTGAATCTTAAGCAGGTAGAGCACAAAAGAGGTGTCAGGGCACAGAGTCCTTTCTGGAGCCACTTTCAGAGGATCCATCTTCATCCTGATTTGTAATTTAGGAGTTCTCAAGGGGGGTAAATTAATTTGATTACCTACATAGGGTCGCTATGAGTCGCAGGCGACTCGACGGCACATAACAACAACAACAACAACAATCTTAATTTCATGAAATATGTTTCTACTAAATTTGTGAGCCAAAGTGAATCCTTTAAACACTGCTTAAAAATCAAGGATTCTTGAACTCTAGAGAACTATAAATGAGTTAATGGAGAAGAGTGTTATGAAATAAAAAATACATGACTGCATTCTACATAACACAGTTTCTAGTCTGTGAAGTTTTGTTTTGATTATATGTTTGTATGTACATTGTTGCTGTTGTTAGGTGTCGAGTACAACTTACAGCAACCCTATGAACAACAGATCTGAACCCTGTCCTGTCCTGTGCCAACTTCACAATCTCTGACTCACTCAAGCTCACTGCTGCAGTCACTGGGTCAGTCCACCTGTGTGACGTTCTTCCTCTCCTTCCCTGTCCCTCCACCCTTTCAATCATGGTGTCCTTCTGTAAGAAACAGCCTTTCCTAGCAACATGTCCAAAGTATGCAAGACGAAACTTTGCCTTCCTTGCTTCACCTTCTCCAATATCAACGTTATTCTTTTGGCAGTCCATGGAATACTCAGTACTCTTCTCCAACACCATAGTTCAAAGGCACCAATTCTTCTGTCATTCTTAATCACTGTCCAGCTCTCAGATGCATAGCAAGTGATTCCAAAGAATATAGTCTGAAACAGGCACACCTTAGTTCTCAAATAAAAAGAAACATTCCTCAGTAATTGGAGAGATTTCTGACTGCAGATGTTCCCAGGGCAATACATTTCCTGATCTCTGATTGCTGGTGCAAAGGGTGTTGATTATGGATCCAAATAAAGTCATTGACAGTTACAATTTTTTCTCCATTTATCATGATGTTCCCTATTACTCCAGTGGCAGGAATTTTTGTTTTCTTGATGTTGATATGCAATCCACACAGAAAGCTACAGTGCTTGATCTTCTGCAAGCACTCCAAGTCCTGCTCCCTTTCGGCAAGCAAGGTTGTGTCATCTGCATACCTGTTACTGATTAATCTTCATCCAATCCTAATGTCACATTCCTCTTCATACAATCCAGCTTCTCGAATTATCTGCTCAGCATACAGACTGAATAGGTATGGAGAAAGGATATAACCCTGATGCAAGCCTTTCTTAATTTTAAATCATGTAGTATTCTCATGCTTTGTTCAAATACCATCTTCTTGATCTAGATAGAGGTTTTATATGAGCACAATTAAATGTTCTGGGATTCCCATTCTCCCAATTTTAGCCAGAACTTGTCATGATCCATACAATCAAATGCTTTTGCACAGTCAGTAAAGCACAGACATCTTCCTGTTATTCTCTGCTCTCAGCCAAGATCCATCTGACATCAGCAATGATATCCTTAGTGCCACAACATCTTCTAAATCACCTTTTATTTTTGGTAGTTTTCCTGTGTAGGGAGCTCTGGTGGCTTAGTTGCAAAAAGTAGTGCTGCAATCCCAAAGGATCAAGGCCAACAGTTGCTCTGCAAGAGAAAGATGAACAATATTCTCCCATGCAATTAACTGTCTCCAAAGACCCGCTGGAAGGTCAGCTATGGGTTGGTTCCAACTCCCCGGTACACAACAAGCTTCCTATCTGTGTACTGTTTTACTGTTTTAGATGTCTTTGAATAATCTTCAGCAGTACTTTGTTTACATGGGGAATTAATGATATTGTTCAATAATTTCCACATTCTGTTGGATCATCTTTCTTGGAAGTGGGAAAAACCATGGATCTCTTCCAGTTGGTCTGCCAGGCAGCTCTCCTTGAAATTTTTTGGCATATATTGGTGAGTGCATCCAAGGCTCCATCTGTCATTTGAAACCTGTCAACTGGTATCTCATCAATTTCTGGGGCCTTATTTTTTGCCAGTGTCTTAACTGCAGCTTGAACTTCTTCCTTCCTTAACATTAGCTCTTGATCATATGGTATACACATGCAAATATACACATGTATAATATGAGGCCACGATGTAAAGTTGACTTATTTCCTCCTCTGTATTGCATTAGGAAAATCTGCTGCCAAGGCCCTCGTTAAAGCACTAAAGAGCAAGGATGTCAGTTTAAAAGCTAAGGTGTGCCTGATTTAACCCATGGTAAATTCCACTGGTTCATATGCATGTAAATATTGGACAATGAATAAGGAATATTAAAGAAAAACTGATGCTGGTAAATTGTGGCGCTGGGGAAGAGGATGCAATATTCCATGAACTGTTAAAAGAACAAACAAATATGTCTTAGAGAAGTCCATCTGGGTGCTACTTAGCAGCAAGGATGGTGAAAGGCAAAGATGGTGGTCTATCCTTTGGGCATGTACCTTGAGGGACCAGTCTGTAGAGAAGGATCTCCCATTTGGAAAAGTAAAGGATCAGTGACAGACAGGAAGATGCTCAATGAGATGGACTGACACAGTGCCTACAAAAACGGGCAGGCGTAAGGACAGCAGAGGTTGTGATCATAGTGTGGGGTTGGGCCAGGTTCATTCTGCTGGACACAGGGACACTACGAGTCAGAGCTAAGTGGCAACAGTGCCTAGTGAAACATTTGAAAACCACTGTCCAAAATAAAAACTCACAACTGTTGAGTAGGAAGCAACTCAGAGCTAACTGCCACTGGGTTTCCAAGGCTGTTAAGTTCCACAGAAGGAAAGTCCATCTTTCTCCTAAGGAGGTGCTGATGGGTTTGAAACACAGAGGTGAGGCCTCTGATTTAGCAATGCATCTCCCTAGGGATTAGGCTATCAGTTCTATACTAGTATCTGTTACACCGTTAGCAGGAAGGATAAGTCCTTGGAGAGGAAGACATCATACTTGGCAAAGCAAAGGTTCAGTAGAAAAGGAGAAGGCTTTTGATGGGACCAACTGACCCAGTGACTGCAACAATAGCCCACACTGAGTAGGACTATAAGAATGGCATAGGAATGAGCAGTGTTTGTTCTGCTGAAGGCAGCATCACTGTCAGTAAAAATGGACTTGGCAGTAGCTAAAACCACACACCATTTAAAGAGCGTTGGTGTTGTCATGGTCAGGTGCTTAGCTGCTAACCAAAAGGTCAGCTGCTGGAATCCACCAGTGATTCCGTTGGAGAAATACCCTGCAGTCTGCTCTCAGAATGACTACAACCTTTGGAACCCTTAGGAGCAGTTCTCCTCAGTCCTACATCCTGCAGGATTACTTCAAACTGGAATTGACGCACAGGCAATGGATTTGTTTCTTGGGTTTTATACTGTTTTGAACACTGAACATAATTCTCACTTTAGGAGTGATGAGCGATTTTACAAGATTTCTGAGCAGAATTTAACTTAATCTGAGAGTGGGTATATAAAGCACATGCTGAAAGACACTGGAAAAGGGAGGATTACCAACTGGGTGTAGGTATGTGTTATAAGCACTAATTGAAGCCAGGGAAAACAAAGGAATGCCAAGAACAGTCAAGAAAAAGGATAAGACTGTGCTGGTGTAAGGTAATTTATATAAAAATCTACTTCAATTTTCTCCCTGCTTCCCCCTCCGAAGAGAGAAAGGAAAAAAAAATCTACTTCATATGATGTGAAATTCAAAAATTGGATACATTGTTAGAACAGTATCTGTCCTTATAAATAATTATTAAAATTAAAGAATAGTTTCTTTTCTAGTCTTACACCAGTAACCTCGGCCCTGCAGTGTATACACACCAACACAGTTCATCTTCATGACTCGCCCCAAGCCATTCCCTCATCACCACATTGATCTATCACAATATGCCAACTACAGGTTGAGGCCAAAACACAGAAAAGCTACTGCCCCAAAGGAGGCAAAAGGATAAAGCATCAGTGATGTAGACAACCAAAGAAGATGAAGAAAATCAAGAAATAGGCCACAATTTTGGAGGGTGACGGTGAGGTGGGAAGATGTGATTTCATCAGCAGAAAAGACTGCAAATGCCAAAAAAGTAGGTCAACCAAGCAAAATGCCAGCACCACCACATGTATAAGCCACCAGCCACAACCACCACAGTCTCATCATCCAGTACAAGCAGAGCCATGTCAACTAAGCAGCAAGGAACAGGCAGATTGCCTTCAAGAAGGGCGTAGGGACAGCCAGGATGCCAAGCAAGATCAAGATGCTGAATCTAAAACAATTGTGACGAAGGCAGTTAATGACCACAGCTTCAGAGGGCCAGGAAAAGGAAAATGAAGATGCCAGCAAGGATAAAGACAAAGAACAAAGCCTAAAGATGACTATGAAATAAAGGAAATTCCCCCTTAAAACTCTGCTACCAAAGCCAAAGGGAAAGATGATGTGGAGGCTGAAAAAAGATAAGATGAGAGGCTAAGAGAAGCGGTAAAGAAAGATCCTGCTTCAAAAGCACCTGGAAAGCAATCCCACAAAGAACTCAACAGAAAGCGTCCCCGGGAGCCAAGAAACAGGAGCTGGAAGAATGTCTTCCAATGTTTTCTATCCCAAATCCTCAGATCTGCAAATATCACATGGCAAAATAAAACTAAGGTTGCAGATAAAACTTAAAGGTTTCAAGCAGAACTAACTAGCTTCAGATAGACATTATCCTTGGTCATTCATGCAGACCCAGTGTCGTCACAAACTAAAGCTAACTCCTTGATGTCCAATCAGAGCTAACTCATAAAAGACCCACCAGCAGGCTTCCGGAGACCAAATAACACAGGAAGAAAGATCCCGTCTTTCTCCCACGGAGCTGCTGATGAATCCTAACAAGTAAGGAACTGCATGACCACCCCAAAGGCAGTCTGTGTGAATCTACCAGCTGTCCCACCTGAAAAAGATGGATAATTTCCTCTTGTACAATTGACAGTCTCTGAAAATCTGCTGGAGGGTCAGCTAAAAGTCAGTCTGACACAATGGTAATGTCATGACCAGAGCCCTTAAAAGTAACAGCTAAGTGAGAAAGGCTCTGCCTTCCCTCATCAGCTTTTAAATGAAGAAAAGTCAAAAGATGCAGACAATGTCTAGAAGCTGAGAATACATAAGAAAACTACCCCGAGAACATCCCACAGGAAGGATACAGAAAGCAGGACTCAGCACCTAAAGCCACACCATGCACAACTCCTCAATCAGTCATTGTTGTTAGATGTTGTTAAGTCAACTATGACTCATAGTGATCCCATGAACAATAGATCTGAACCTCGTCCTACCCTGTGCCATCCTCATCATATCTGACACACTCAAGCACACTGTTTGTTTCTGGTTGATGCATTTTGTTCAAGGTCTTCCTTTCTTTTGCTGGCCCTCTATTTTCCCAGGATGATGTCATTTTCTAAGGACTTTAACAATATGTTCAAAGTGTGCAGGACCAAATTTCCCCATTCTTGCCTCTCAGGAGTACCCTGGTTGCACTTTCTCTAAGATACACTTGTTTGTCCTCTTAGCAGTCCATGGGGATATTCAGTACTCTTCTTAAACACCACAACTCATGGCACTAATTCTTCTACTCTCATCCCTATTCACTGTCCAACTTTCAGATGCATAGTTAACTAACTAGAAGACCATGGCTTGAATCAGGTGTACCTTAGTCTTTATACTGAGATCATTACCCCTCATGACGTTTGAGAAGTCTTTAACAGCAGATTTTCCCAGTGCAACATATCTTCAGATTTCTTGGCTGCTGGTACCATGAGTGTAAATTGTGATCAAAGCAGATGAAACTGTTGACAATTCAGTCTTTTCTCCATCTATCATGATGTTGTCTACTGACCCAGTGAAAAGTATTAAAGATTTCCTTTCACGAACTGTAGACGGGAGTAAAGATAGAAGAAAAGCAAGAACAAGAAGCTTGTGGGCAGATGAATGTCTGTACTATATTGGAGGGGAAAACCCACATCAAGAATACAGATAGAGGAAAACAGCAGCTGCAGGAGTGAGTCAGAATTCTTACATAGAAACTTTTCTTCAAGTGCTCAGGAGGAGATGTCAACCAAGACATTGCAGAGCCAAAGGGGCTACTAAAGATCATAAATTCAAAGTTTACTTTACTGGAAGATGCTTTAAATACCTCTTTAAAAAAAAGTAAAAGAGGAGTTAAGGACAGAACCATGAGGTTAAAGCAAAAAGTTAATACAAAAAGAGACCATTCATTCCACATGCTGTCAGAGGTTCTTCTGAAGACACTACAGAAGGATGAGAGCCATGCTGTAGCTCTATTGTAATGGTGTGGTCACAGAGGGAAGGAAGCTGGCTTGTCCAGATGGTCTGGTTACTAAATTTCATCAAAGTCCTCAGAGTCATCGTCATGTTTCCACTGTTCTCAGTTCTGTTTCTTTTTATATAGGCTCTTTTTATATTGGCTCTCTTTTCTCAAGTCAAGATAGGCTCTGTCTATATTCTCTATTTGTCAAGGGAAGGAAGACAGAGTTGTGGTCTTTTCTCTAGAGGGCTACTTCTTGTAAAAGACACTCCACTTCTTGTAAAAGTTATACTGGTAGCAAAAAGGACTTGAGAAAGGGAGGATGGGAGAAGACGAGAGAGCAGACCTGCCACCCTCTGAGTGATCAAAGGAACTGCTAAGAAATCAAAGGGGTGCAGCTGGGTTTGGGTACTAGCTGTTTTAAAGTAAAGGGAGCTCTGGTGGCCTAGTGGTAAGGAACTGTGCTGCCAACCTAAAGGCACATGGTTTGAATCCACCAGCTGTTCTATAGGAGACGGATGAGCAATCACCTCTTAATAGCCTCCAAAACCCTGGAGGAGGATCAGCTTTGAGGGGGGTCCAACTCCATGAACATAACACTATATATTTTAAAGTAGACCCTGGAGGTATCTTTAATAACGTAACCTAGTAGTAGGGCCATTTTGGTTAACTGGTTATTTTATTACATTATCTTTTCTTTACAGAATCTCAAGTAATTTTTTATTTAATGCAAAAAGGGGAGGAGGGGGCATAAGTCAAAGTTACCTGAGAATATGTGTCACAAGCAACATCTGAAGTACAAGGAATGGATATGAAAAGCTTTCACGGAGAGGAGGCGTCCACATCACACGGGTACACTGGAAAAGGACACACACGTTACATTTTCTAACAAACGTACAGCAAATAAAAAGTTACAGAAGCCAAGAAAAAGTACTTTTCACACCTAATTTAAATGGTGTTATTAAACAAGAAGCTACTGTATTTTCCATGAATAATAAAACTGAAAATGGAGAAGTATTTACTGAGATGGGGACACAAATGGCTTAAAATCTTGGGAAAAATTAACATAATGATCTATCAACAAAAGAACATCAAAAAGCTTCAACTGTAGCTAAAGAGAAAGGGCTAACTCAAGAATGTCACGCCAAAATTAAAAATGTTTCATTTCCATTGACTGTTTAATTAAAGTCTATTTCCTAACCAATGATTTCTTTAAAAAAAAATCCAAAACCATCCACTGTCATCTTCTCAAAATATTTTGCAGTTATCAGTTTATAATGAAACATTTTTAATTAATTGTACTATTTTAATAGGTTTAATTAATTATATCTTTGGGTTCACAAAGTTGCTGAAAAGCACACTCCATTTCTGCTTTTACCACTTCTTTGCCCAAGTTACCCTGAGCTGTACACATGTTTTAAAGTAAGAAAGAACTGGACATCAAATTAAACAAAGTCCTAAAATTAAAAAGTATAAGTTTTGCTGAAATGTTCATTTTGAGTATAACAAAACATTTTACTATCTCATTTTAGTTCCAAATCAAGCTTCTACGTATTTACAAAATATATCAATAAGTTCATCTTCCAACTGAAAGAAAACTACACTGGATTAAATGTAAACAATCTAACATTACTTCCACTAAGTTAGACACACCTGAAGAAATCATTACATCTCTCAACTCAAAGGAGGCTACTTTAAAGACAATACAGAATAGAAAGAAGACAATGGAAATAAGTCCATCCATCATTTTAGCTCTTATTCTGAGTCTGGGAAAATCTGCTATCAGGGACCTCTCCAGAGTACCAAGAAGCAAAGATGTCAGTCTGCAGATTAAAGTACACCTGATGCAGGCCATGGTCTTCACAATTACTTGCTTTGCATCAGAGAGCTGGACAATGACTAAGGATGACAGAAGAATTGATGCCTTTGAGTTGTGATGCTGGAGAAGAGTATTGAGTATACAGTGGACCACCAGGAGAACAAACAGGTCTGTCTGAGAGAGGGTGAAACCAAGTTTCTCCTTGGAGGCTAGGATTTTGAAGCTCTAACATATTTCAGGCATGTTGCCAGAAGGGACCAGCCCTTGGAGAAGGACTACATTCTTGGACAGGTTAAGGGACAGCGCATGAGAGGAAGACCCTGGATGAAAAAGAGTGACATAGTAACTGGGGCAATAGGATTAGGCGTGTTGGAGTCAGTGAGACTGGCTCAGGACGGGCCAGGCTTCAGAGCTTTTGTACATAGGGTCACTATGAGTCTCAGGCCACTCAATAGTACATAACAATTTCTGAGTTAGACTATTACATTTCTATTATTGATATAGAATGGCTGAAGCAATTTAACCTTTTAAAAATAAAGTTAGGAACCTTGGTGATATAGTGGTTAAAGACCTCAAATGCAAATTACAAGATCAGCAGTTCTAACACACCAACTCCTCCACCATTGAGAGAAGGGCTAGTCTACTTCTGAAAAGGTTACAGTTGTAGAAGTCCTATACACCCTGGCAGAGGAAATAGACTTAGAAATCCTGTGAGGTAGTTCTACTCTGTGTTACTGGTTCCCTATGAGTGAGAATCAACTCAATGGAAGTGGATTAAAAAAAAAAAAAAGTTAACTCTCACTGTTAAAATTAAACAGGAGTCTTAGTGATATTCTACATAAAAAGTGTCAACCAAAAATTTGGTGATTCAACTATGCAGCACACAGGAGCAATGCTTTTGTAAATTATTATCTAACTTGGTAGGGATTGGAGAGCATTATGCTGCAAGAACATAATCAGATCCACAAGGACACATATTGTGTAAAACCATTATTGTAGAATGAGTATGAGGATCTAAGGTGGGGGGGAAGCATAGGGGTGAGGATGTGTGGGTGTTGGTGGTGGGAGATTAATCATGGTGTTGTACAGTTGGATGGCGGGTGAGGGAAATTGGAAGAATGTGATGTAAAAAACAATGCATTAGAATTTTGTAAATAAACTAGTATTTAAAAAAAATTTGGTGATTCAAATGCAACAATGAATGACGACTGGAAACTCGAAGTCTCCGTAAACTTCCATTAAAATTAATTTTTTAAAAAAAGTTTGGTGATTCAAATCCACCAGCAACTCAAAGGGAGAAAGACTGGGCAGTCTGCTCTTTTAAAGATTTCCAAGTCTTGTGAAATCCTGCAAGGAAGTTTTACTCCATCCTTTAGGATCAATATGGGTCAGAAATGACTTGCTGACAGTGGTTATATTTGAGTTGGGTTATGAAATTAAAACAAATATCTACTTATTAAGTATGCAGGGCAGTATCCGCCCATGTAACTCACAGATCCAAACACACACTGGAGGGTCAGCTATGAGGTTGATTCCAACTCTATGGCCATGAGTGTGTGACCCATACAAGTAACATACAAAAGAGAAATCTATAAATATCCAACAGTTCTTTTAAAAACTCATACTTATTTTAGAACTCCATATAATTGATCATAGAGACACATGACCAAAATTTAGACTTATTTTTACATTTTTTAAAAAATTTTATACTGATTTATTTACAAAGTTAGAATACATTGTTTTTCACACAAGATCTTTCCTATTTCATTCATCCCCCCACATCAAATTGTGTGACCCTATAATTAACAGCCCCCCATACACACATCCTCACCTCTCTGCTTCCACCCTCCCCACACTCCCCATTGGATCCTCATACTCATTTGACAATAATACTTTTATATTTGTCCTTATGGGACTGAGTTAGTTCACTCAGCATAATGCCCTCCAGTCCCTCCCAAGTTTAGGTAGTGATATACAAAATCATTGCTCCTGCATGCTGTGTAGTATTCCATTGTGTAAATGTACATAATTCTCAATCCATTCAATTGTGTTTGGACATCTGGGCTGTTTCCATGTTCTTGCAATGGTGAATAATGCTGCTATGAACACTGGTGTACAAGTCTCCATTTGAGCCTCAGTTCTCAATTTCTCAGGGTATATTACAAGCAATAGAATAGCTGGTAGACCTATCTATTTTTGTGCAAAAACCAGTAAGAAAATATTCAAACTATACAGTGTACAAATTGAGAATCTGCTTCATACAGGCTGTTTATCCACATTTATTATGTTGCTCTAATTCAACTATGTTATAGTCTCTTGGAAACTAATTTCTCTCCTAATAGCTAAAGTCTCTTATTAAAGTCTCTAAAACTCAATTATATCCTCTATAAAGTAAGGATAAAAATGCCCAACTTACAGAACTGAAATAAAGAGCAAAGCCTTCCTCTCTAAAATGTTAAGAGTAAATTAATTCGAATGTACATGAAGATAGTGTATTTTTTTTTAAGAGCCACAGGATCTTTATTAACAAAAAAGCAGACAGGACTGACATCCCTCATGTATAAAAAATATATATATACACACACACAAACACACATAAATATACACACCGACATCCCTCTGTAAAGTTCCTCCAAGGTGAAGCCACTCGAGGTAGGAGGCACCTACCGAGAATGGCTGCCCTGGGGGCTAAGGAAACTGGTGCCCACACTCCCAGGCTGGCAGAGGGTAGAGGAAATTACAAAAGAGACAGGTGATGTCTCAGAGGTCAAAAGAGCAGGAAAAAAAGATGTAGACATTGACGAAGGGCTCTCGTCTCATGTAGATATGAGCAATAATGTCTCGTCTCCTCACTGTTCCTTTCAGAGGCTGGGGACCCTGCTCAGCCAACTCCATGTCCTTCCAAATCCCTCAGAGGGCAGCAATGGCCTTAGCAGCCACTTGGCGACCTAAGGACAGGTTGAGGTCTGTGATGGCCAGAACCACCTTGGGGCTGGACATGGCTGACACCTTCACCAGTTCTGATACCGTGGTAAAGGGCATAAACTGCAAGATGCTGCCGCGGCTGCCCTGCTCCAGGCAGTCAACACACTCCTCCATGAACCACTGCACAAACTGGGTGTGGGGGCCTGTGGTCCGGGACCCCAGGATGGAGGAGATGAGCAGGAACAGGTTGGTCAGGACTCGGTTCAGCGGGTCTCTCATGTTGACTGTGTGAAGCTGGGAGGCCGAGAGGGAGCTGTTCATGGAGTGGTCAGTTGGACTCGAGAGGATGTTGGCATCCTCCTCATTGGAGCTCAGCAGTCGCATCAGCTTAGACGGCTGCATGTCGTCCAGGGGAAAGAGGCTGATATAATCCTCGATGTCTTCAGTGTCTCTTCTTTTGGCGGGAAGACGCCTGGCCCTTGTGGGAGGAATAGGAGCTCAGGGCGCACCACACAGCTAGCTTGCCAAGAGCAGTGCCTGGGGGGTCCATGAGGTTGTGCCACTTGGAGGAGTCAGTGAGCAGGCCGGGCAGGATGTGGCCAAGCAGGATGAGCATCACTTGCTGCATGTCCAGACAGAAGATGGAGTACAGCAGCTCCACAGCCCGTAACGTGTGCTCCTTTCGGGTCTCCTTTAACAGCTCCTTAATCAGGTTGTTGCAGAACCAGTAGATCCCGCCCATGTGCAGCAGGGTGTCAAAGATGTGGATGGAGCGGCTGTCCACCCACCCCTTCTCCAGCACCTTGGCAAAGATGTCAGTCAGCACCTCCTTGATGGGGCACTTAGGGGGCAGCAGGTTCCAGTAGGGCATGGTGTCCACACCCGTGGACGGGAACTTGATCTGCGTGGCCGTCTGTTGCAGCACGTCAGCACACATGTGCTCCAGGATGGAGCTCATGATCACCACCCTCTCACTGTAGAACTGCAGGGTGTTCTCACTATACAGTGGCCCTGCCAGCTGGCGGATCATCTGCAATGACTTCTCATGCTCATCTAGTCCCAGCATCCGGACGTGGGCCACCAGCCAAGCCACAGCACACACTGCCAGACTGC